CAGTTTATCAAAAGACGTTTCATCGAGATCGTTTCATCAACACGTGACGTTTATTAACAACTCAAAATATATATATTTTTTTTGTAATAATTTGCCAAGAAGTGGCGTGAACGGGTGGGCTGAGTCGGTGAGCACGCGCTTCAGGAATACAGGCGCGACGAAATGTCCCTGCAGCGTGCAATTCGCGTAACGAGTGCCGACTAAACGTGTGTCCATGAAACGTCTTTCCACGTAAAGGTGTCCATGAAACGTCTTTTCACAAAACGCTGGGAGAATAAGAATGTCAGTATTCTAACTACAACTTTCACATGATTTCAGATCGCTAATGGCAGGCGACTGCGTTAGAATTACGGGGAAATTATTCTCCCAGCTGTCAGAAGATAGGCACTGCCAGGAGATAGACACTACAGAACGGTCAATTGTCGCCGAGTAGGTTGCAGCGCACTTACGTTCAAAATACCGGACTTGAAAGATGTAATCCGAAATATACGTCGACACGGGCACTGCAGACCAACCACTCAAACACAAAACCGAAAAGGAAGGGATCCGTGAAGATTCACCACGATGTAGCACAAGCTGTCATTTGCCGAACCGAACACTGAACGCATCACAAGAATGTCTTGGGCTTCTTTGAAGAAATCGCTTGTTGCCGACATACGGGTAGGACTTTTCGATCGGGATACCTTTTACCATAGAAGCGAAATCCACAGCAGCCCCGCGGGCCGCACGACACGCGAAACTAGGTCCGCAAGCAGCCTCATTCCGGGATTGGCAGTGGCTAATGCGTCATCCCTCAAACCACGTGATCACGCTCCTTCCGTTACATGCGCACAGAGAGCGGAGTGAAGCGATAAAAAGTCTACGGTTGATTGGTCCGCCGAGTCTGCACCTTCTACAATGCTTTTAGCTTAGGGAAAGAGAGAAAACAGAAAAATTGAAAAGCAGAGCTCCTTCAAGGCCAGAACGGGGGTGCGATCACAAAGACTAATCTTCAGGGGCATACCAACAATGAACACAGCGAGAGAATGTGTCACTTATATCCTGTTGACAGTTCGAGCCAAGGTTGATAGTGCAGTGGATGCTATGTGTGGCCTTGGGCTTAAGGCAGGTGCCGTGTTTAGCGTTATCACCAGCTTCGAGACAGTTGTCACGGGACCCTAACCGGAGACATGATTGGCCTCAAACACGCATAGCGTCTACTCTGCTGTCACTACCGAGTGAGCAGGACAGCTCCATGAAGGCCCCCCAGCTTTTGGACTTTTTTCTAAAGCTGCACTTCCCAGAAGTGACCCAAAACGAGGCAGTTTGAAGATATCATATTTTACGCCTTGTAGCCCACATTATAATTTAAAGTGAATAATTAATGGCGAATACTTTTTCTTTGCGCAGGATGTCCACAAACAAATAAATAAATAAATAAATATATATATATATATTTATATATATATATATAATTTTTTTTTTTACCAAGCACTTTTGTGTTATGTGTACACTGTTAGGTTTGCATTTTTACACTTAAATTTTGGGAATCTTTGCATCGTTGTGGCATCTATGATTGCGTGGTTGAAGAAATTTGTGCCGTAATACGTTTTTCATCCGTGAGTTCAGTCTATATCACTGCCATCAATTACAATCTCTGAGCACCATGATGACACATGGTGGGGATGTGTGCTCCAAGAAGCTCTAATGACTTTAATGTCTCATAATTTAAAGAAAAAGAAGAGAAATTAGCCACAGCGCTTGCTGATTTGTTGAATTCGCAGAACAGAGAGATAATAGGACGCACCTAGGGTAGGGCGTGCCTAATGATATTAATTTTTGTTTCGGCTGTTATATGTGTATATTTCGCCGTTCTCGACATGGGCGTTGACGGACATTGCACCGCTGCTCACGCCCCTGCCGGGGTAAGCTTTTTTTGTTGTCACGACACTCTATCGCGCTATAGACGCGTCGATTTAACGCTCATGAAGTCTCGAGAGAACTGTCAATTGTTTAGTCAGAGCAACGACGCAGCAATCGCGAAGTGAGAGACGACTGCGCCTCACTCTGATAAAATGTGAGCGTGGGATTCTCGAGCAGCATTAACTTGCTGATGATGCAGGGCGCTGCTTTGTCGTTGAGAATCTTTGTCCTGCGAACGCCGGCGAAAACGTTCCAGTGCTCGGCGTACCCTAGGCAGCAGCGCCTGTCAGCGACCGCCCGGAGCCTACTGGCAGTCTGCGAGCGCCGACGATTTATCGTCGCGACTTCAATGGGAGCATTTTATGAACTCCTGCGGCGAACATGAAACACCGCGAACACGAACTTCCTCGAACATAATCCCCGCGACGGCGAACCGCCGGGGCTCGCAGACGGAGGGTTCCGATGCTGTGCGAACGGTTGTTGGAGGAGACTGCGTAGGGTATACGCCGGGCGCTGGAACGGCTTCGAAGCCATTCGATGGGCAAAGGATTCGCGACGACCAAGTAGTGTCTTGCATCTTCAGTAAGCTAACAGGGCTCGAGAGTCCCAAGCTTACATTTCCACAAAGCGAGCGCGGCCGGCCAGATCGAGGCGCAGTCAGCACTCGCGTCGCGATTGCTACGTCGTTGCTCTACCTACACCGATGACATGTGCACCGGCATTCGAAACCGCCCTCTCGAGACTTTGTACGTGTCCAATAGACGACTTTATAGCGCGATAAACCGTCGTGACAAGAGTAAAGCTCACCTCTGTAGTGGCGTAAGCAGCGTTCTTGACGCCGCATCAAGAACGACGAAATATACACAAAAAACATTAAATATATTTAACACAGCAGGCAGAAAGAAATAAAAACATGGCAGGGACACGGACAAAGTAGAAGGCGCGCTACGAAATACATATACTTACAAAATACACTGGAAACGACGGATAATTAGAGCTAAAAACGGAAGATTGAGATGACGTCAACGCCGAAATAAGGCAATGCGCAGGGAAAGCAGACGGCAAAACTGCAATAGTCCTATAGGCAGCTAAGGACGCTTTTGTGATCGCGGGCGTATAGCCGCGGCGACGTACGCCCCGTTAACCTGGCTGAAGAAAATTCTCGCCCCGATCGAGCACATGAATGATTCTCTTCCACTTTCGTACATCTGCAGTAAAAAAAAAAAAAAAAAAAAAAAAAAAAAAAGGGTCGCGGGCCTATAGCCTAAGCAAACCATTGAGCCGACTAAAAAAATTGGATGGTCGCGAGTCTATAGCTCGGGAGACATACACCCCTCTATAGCAGGCTAAAGCACATTGTAAGGTCGGAGGCTATAGCTTTGGTGACATAGAACACTATTGAGTCGGCTAAAGAAAATTCAATGGTCGCGATTCTATAGATTTAGGGACATACACCACTCTATAGCCGGCTAAAGAGCATTGAAAGGTCAGAGGCCTATAGCTTCGGTGACATAAAATGCTATAGAGTCGGCTAAAGAAAATTCAATGGTCGCGATTCTATAGATTTAGGGACATACACCACTCTATAGCCGGCTAAAGCACATTCAATAGTCGCGAATCTATAGCATCAAGGACATACATATGTCTATAGCTTGCTAAAGAATATTCAATAGCTGCGAGTCTATAGCTGCGTAGTCATAAATTATTCTATAGCCAGGTATAGAAATCGGAATGGTCGAGATTCTAAAGCTTTGAAGACATACATTTTTTTATAGGTGGCTATAGCGTGTTTTATGGTTTCTTATGGCTGACCATAGAGGGCCATAGAAGGTGATAGCTCACCATAGGATTTTCCATAGACGTCCATAGACCATTTTTGTATGGGCAAACTGGCCCCCTGAGCTGCAGAAATCTCTTACAATATTATCATTCTCGTGATTGTTGTTTGAGCAGGAATTGCTTAAAAAGCCGATAATTCACAACAACAAAAACCAGTCCGCGGGGCTGTTTATAACCTTTTTAGCGTTTCTAACTTAATATCAGCATGGTAATAATGTAGGAGATTTCTGCAGCCCATCCATGGATGAAGGGTGGACAGCATGCACAGTATCAAAAACGCTGACATTGAGGAGAAATTTGAAAAGCGATATGACAGGTCATTGGGCTATATCAGGCGCTCGTTCAAGGTGACTCCAAATTACGCTCAAAAGCTGTGTAACCAGGAATAGGGTCAAAATTATCGATCACTAAGGGGCTGAAGGAACAGCGTTCCCATGATTCTTTTAGCGCGGGCCGGGCACTTGGGGGATATAGCAAATGGTCTATATGTACTTATATATCACTCCAAAAAAGCCCGTGCGTCTACTTTCCCACACAACACTCGGAGAGCCAATCACCGCAACTTTACGGAGGCAGCTCAGCGATAGACGATGCCGAAACCTATTTTTAGACAAAAAAAACACAGTCTGAGTTGTGACATTAAACAGTGGAAAACGTCACGCTTGCATTGCCTAATGTCTCAACTCAGACTGCGTTTTTTGGTCTAAAAATAGGTTTCGGCATCGTCTATCGCTGAGCTGCCTCCGTAAAGTTGCGGTGACTGGCTCTCCGAGTGTTGTGCGGGAAAACAGAAGCACGGGCTTTTTTTAGAGTCTACATGCTGTGCTTGAATGGTATTCCGTAAAGTGGGGAGTATCATGTTACACAGTATTGTTCTTAAGCATTGTATCGCCGTGCAGGTCATCTGTGGTTAGTTCATTTTAATGTCCATTGTTAGCTGTATTGAATGTTGACACGTTTCGGTTTTTTTTTTTTGGAATTTCTTAATGATCTACAGCATTAATTTGCGCGTTTCTTAAGTCTTTTTTTTTTCTTGCATCATCGGCGAAATAGTTTTTTCTACTTTTTGTTGGCTCCGTCAACTGGATGTTTGTGTCCTAAGCAATAACATATTTTTCACAGAAGTACGCTGTGCGTCTCGTGAGAAAAAAAAAATATACCCGTGAAAAAAGCCTGGTGTAGAGGTACCGCTACTTGCTTTCTCGTAGTTATTTCACCTATGTTACGCTTATTTCGCTCTCGTTTGTCTTTACTTACAGCCTGAAAAGCTCGCCCAAAGCTTGTTGTTGTGTGTCAAAGGATTGGGATTCCGTAAGTGGGCCCTTTTGTTGGTGTTGTTGTTTGTTTTTTGTTTTGTTTTTTGGCCTCGTGCCAATTAACGTTTGTATACATATTGTAAGGCACCCGTGTCTAGAGTTATTTAGGATTCAGGGGACCACGCAAAGGCAAACACTTGCCTTTGCGTGGTCCCCTGAGCATTTCCAGTCTCGGGTACTGTCACACGCTCCGTTGCATCCTTATGATTTGTTGGTATCTTCGTAGTTTGCGCTATTCGCAAAACTTTCCTGCCTTGGAAGCCAACAGGCATACTCCTAGAGTAGCTCCGGTGAACAAGATCATATCTGGTATTATTATTATTATTATTATTATTATTATTATTATTATTATTATTATTAGACATTATGTCACATGTGAGCTCATAATATGAGACCGTATCATATAGCGTGTTTCACGAGACCCATGCTAAAAGATTCGTGTAAAAACTGCAAATGTGAAAAAAAAAAAAAAAATAACCCGTTATTATTGTTTTTCGCCGAAAGATCTATTTAGAGAGGTACATATTACTTGAAATTATTGAGCGATTACTTCATTTCTAAATAGTGAAGTGGCTCTATGAGTATTGTATAATGATCTGTTATGCGGACCCCTGCGGGTTGAATGTTACATCATACAAGGTACCCTTCGGAGTGTTTTAAAAAGAGGGCCAACGTGGCTGCAAGCCTTCGTATACACACTGTAATCTGAGCGTGCGCGACGACGCAAAAGCAGTGACACTGTACTTTGTACGACGCCAGAACGTCGAACGGGATTCTGGTATATATTCTCGTGTGATTTGCCAAACCTTTGGGACTAGCTGAAGCTTTCACGCCAGCTCTTTATTCCGTGTTTTGAATGTTCTCGCTTTAAGTCTCAACATTATTTCATATCACCTCTGATGTCTTGTAGGAGTTTACTAAACTTTATCATCTTGTGCCTTCACGTCACTTTTCTTAGACTTAAAGGAATACTCAAGTAAAAAGAACACATTTCTTAAGTGCTTAAATAAGACACTCTGTCCCAAAACTAAACTTTCCCCGAAAAAAAGAAAAAAAAAATATATTACATTTTTTTCCCCGACACTCATTTGAAAGATGCTTCTATTTTGGGGTCGACGTCTCAAAAAAGAAACATGTTTTGAAATCGCTCCTAAATCAAACTGTCTCTCGCGTCGTAGATATTGCGCTAAAATACTATTAACAGAATGAAGAATTGAGCGAGATGGGCGCGTATTCATCTTGAAACAGAGCGATTATTCACACGGACGAAGAAAGTCTGGACGACACGAACGCTGCGCATATTTTGACAACGGGCAACAAATTTCTAATTGGAATATGCCAGCTGGAACAAATTTTTGAAAGTTAGCTCATTTTAAGTAATTAATTTGTTAATTATCACTTTCCTTTCTCTACCTGACATTCGCCGCGGTGGTTAACGTTGTCCCGAAGGAATCAGTTATCTATTTCCGGTGCCTTTTTTTTTTTTTTATTTGCCGTTTTAGAGATATTCAATTTCCAGGAATCTATATCTCCTTGCGGTGTGTACGATGAAGTCTGCTGGCAACTGTTAACATCCGTTTGCTCGGGTCCCACTCCGCGACGTGACGTTCCTACCCCGGACAGAGCCGCTTCTACTGAGAGAGCTTGGCGAATGGGAGGAGCTTGTGACCCGCTAAATCTAGCTAGATATAACAAGCCGAATTCGCGATGACATAAAATTTATTCTCGTTTGGCCCCTCCACTCTGAGCGAGATAACTTAAATTCGCGGTTACAAGTAGCGTTGTAAAACAATTTCTCGTACTTCGGCGCTTTGTTACACCTCTAATTGATTATTATATTCAACCACCGCTCATTCTTTATTCATCTCCAATAACAAAACTTTCAAAGGAAAAGTTTTTTTTTCTTTTTTTTGTTTGCTTGCAAACGAAAATGTGCTTTCTCAAGCGATAAAGAGTGACTTGCAGTCTTGTGGCATGGCTCATTTGGAGTTTGTCATGCGTCAGTAGCACAAGATGGCGGATTTAATTTCCGGTTGCTAGACGTTCGGCATGTTCAAAAGAATGTCAAAAGCTCCTAGTATAACGGCTCTGACCGCGGAAGCGGGTTTGTCATGGCGCAGCGTGCTATTCTCTGAGAGCGCAATTCAGATGCCGCAGCCATATGTTAGTAACAGAAAGAGCATTTATTAGCTAATAACAGCTCTATAAGCTGACGACTGCCGTCAGGCGTTAGCACGGTCGGCCATAATGGCATAAAGCGACTGTGTGACACTCGCCGCAAAACCGACCGAGTCGCAGGGTCGCGCGCTCGTCGTGCACCAGTGGCAGAGCCAAAGGCGAAAGGCTGGTTCACACACTTGCGTTTGACTACGATCGACTACGCTACAACCGGTTTTTAAGCCCCGGTCGTAACCAGTCCCCAATGTGTGAACCAGCCTGCAACCCTCCGCCTGCCCGGCTCCCTTTGGTTTTATTTGGAAACCAAGACCAAGTGGCCAATCAGGAGTGAAGTTTTGTCTTATCGATCCGAAGATGTCCACCCGCAGGGAGAGATGCAGGGCCTTCCCATATGTCCCCTCACTGGTGCACCGCGTGGTCGCAATGGCGAACCGACGATAATGCGATGGCGAGTGTTCGGAACCCCGGTCCCCGGACTCTCTACCACAGAAACCCGAATGAACGCCCACCCACGGGGGAGGAGAGGTAGAAACGGAAAATAGGACGTGGGCAATCTTTACGGGGAAGGCCTCCGATTTTGCGGTAGCGTTATTTGAACGGCGCTCGCATTGCATCGTAGATATTTAGCGAGGAAAGAAGGCTAATGCACTGTTTTATTTTTACAGTGACCTCTATCACCTTGCCTGGTGTGGAAAGACAGAGAACCTTCTCCGGAGGCGACCACAAAATGCTGGGCGCCGTGGGTCGCCGTCACACCCTGTCGATGGAAGAGTACGACCTCCCTCGGACGAGAAGGACATCCCTTACTGCTGTGCAGAAATAGGCTTTGCCTGCTCTTTCCTTGCGATCGGGGCGCACATAGCTCGACCGGTAGCTCACACCACAAGTAGACGTCGATCTAGTAGCCTTATTTCTTTCGTCAGCCCTCGTTTTGTGCTTAATACCTCTGTTATCGAGCCTTCAGACTATATTCGCAGTGCGTAGAAAAGACGCATATTACCTCGCTTTATTATATAAACACATATATTCAGAAAGCGCAGTCCAAATTCAACTCCCACCAGATAACGCTCCCTGGTTAAGCAGTTTGTGCGCTGGTATAGCGTCTCCCACAATAAAATTAGTGCCGCGGATTCATAGTTTTAGATATTTGCCTGCAGGAGTGTATGATGAACCCAGCTTATTACTTGCCGAGCGCTCTTAGGTGTACTTTATTCATTGATATTCAAAGAGCCACGGGCTACTTTGAGAAAAAAAAGTTTCAATTGAGGCGTTCTTCACTGGCCCTCCAAATCACTCATCACCAACCGGGCACGTTGGAAGCGCGACACAGATGTGCCAATTTACATAATTTTAAGAGAGTCTGTTAGCTTGGTCTCCAATTTTGGTTGAAACGTGAAACACCATAATGATACACAACAGCCTACAGGCAGGTTTTCTCATTTTCATTCGTCATCAATCCGATACGTTCGCGGTCTAAGGGGCGCTCATCGTCAAAGCAAAGCAGATGGGACAAATTGCCTCCTTTACGAACTCACGGCTTCTCGCCTTTGAGTAACCGTGTCCATCTAATTTTACTCATAACTATTTTCTACCCTCATTGATGAGACTAAATGATTTGTGTGGTGTAATTTTTTTTTTTTTTTTCAACTGTAAAATTTAAGTTATTCAACTGATCAGGATTCGCGGTACACTCTTCATAAGATCTGTTTGTTTAAGCGTCAGTCTTAATAGTGAATTTTGCGGACGATTAAGACGACCAGTGGCAGAGGATTCGCGCCCTTACTTCAGGAGTAACCAGCAAATTGTTCCCTGTCCTCGTTACTTGGCTCTAGCGCCACCTCCCTGGTAACCCTCACCTTATAGCCTTTGATGTGTTCTGTGTTCGCTATCGATATCAGGCTTCAGTTCCACCTTGTAGGTGAGGGCAGCCGTGCCTGTTCATGATAACACGCGCTTATATCTAGCCCTCTAAGCTTTACAGCCCCCTGGAAACAGTCAATTCTGTTTGTTTTTAGCTTTGAAGATTTGCCTTACTTTCATAGTAAGCTAATAGGAGCTCTGTCTTTTGGACATCTGTCTTTTATGAAGGGCTACATACAAACCAAATCGTTCTAGAATAAAACAACTTAATTGACTAAATTGAGACCGATAATCGTTTAGGGGCGAAAAGAAGTCTACCGAAGAAATGGGGACAAATAACAAGAACAGTTCTTGATCACCTTTTTTTCTTTTCTTTCCGCAGCCTTCAGAGCTCGTATGTTTGGCTGCAGTTTTACGAGACAGATAGTCATATTTTTTACCTCAGTAATGTTTTCGTCGTCCCTTAGAATACATAAGTATATCATCCAAATCAGTAATATCTCCCAGTATCGGACCCCAAGAAGTCGAAAATGTGCTCCATGCCTGGTGTATTTGAGTGCTTGCTGCAGCAGAAAGTAAAGCACTTGGTACACAAATGTCTATTAAAAATCTGCATAAAAAAAGTTAAAAAAAAAATCTTTTAGTGTTTTGAGATTTCTCATCAAGTTTTCTTCAATCCTAGATGTGTTCAGAAATTAGCATACACCTACGCCGGATGTTGAGTTAGCTCCGGTTGTTTTCGGCATCGTTGTGTTTATTGCCTCTATGATTGACTCGGCTGAACTTACTGGTTTATCCGTAGAGCTGATGTGCATAGACAATGCTCAGTGGCATGTTGTTAGACATCTCTGCTGACACGGATCGCACCAAGCTTGATACGCTAGCCAAAGGGCTAGCGTCTCAAGCTTGTTTCAATCTGGTGACATGCACAAATGAACTCTAATTTCTTGCGTGCTTGTAGAGAGGAGAGGGAGGGTGACCCTTATGTTGGAATGACAGGCCGTAGCTTATTAATAGCATCATGGTACCGCTTTGAACGCCGCCTCTTTTATCCCATCAACGCGGTCCTTGTCGCATTACCCTTTTTTTTGCTTTTTTTTTTGTCGGGACAGTACACCTGCGTTTCCGGCACATATTCAATCATTCCATTGAGTCTGTCTGCATTCGTGCTTGTTGCCCCCATCCTATGCCGGCATTCTGAGAAACGGTTGAATGAGCCACTCAAACAGACCGAGCAGCGAATCAACTCGTTCTTCTTGCCGTTGCTCGCCAAACTCCACAGTTCACAGCGCCCGCCTGATGTCGGGGTTCAAGCGATTTTTATGCTCCGACAACTAGCCTGGGGGTCTTGGGCAGATGGAGCCTTGTTTTCTTAAATTGACACTTCATGGAGGATATTGAAACCTTCGTCTTAAGCTCAGGGACAATTAACTTGTTTTCACAGCATCGTTACTTGTTTCCTCTGCTTCCAGGAAAATAACATGCAAGAGATATTTTCGAATCGGTATTTCGGCATTTTTACTTGGATACTTCATCCCGGACGCTCGTTTTCCAAATACCATCCACCGTGAATTATTTTGGCAGAGCACATGTTGTCTTGCTGATCGGCATAAAAATGTGTCCCTTATTTGCTCGAAGAAGTAGGTTCCATATCATGAGGCAAACTGCCCTGCCAATGTATAAAGGTCTCACTATACAATGTGGGAGGGGGGGGGGGGGGGTTGTACATACAAACACCGCGAGCCATACGGCAATTTTATTCGTGCGCCTGTTCATGTATGCCATCTCAGTTGGATTTTCGACGGGAACCTGGGGCAAAAAGAATTCATCACTGCGCTGCGCTTGGCCCATTTATCTCATCCCAGAGCGCTCCATCCTAGAGATTAGTGGGTTCGGCAGTATCGCGCGCAATCCATGCCACGTTCATGGCAAGCTTGCGTCTAGTCAGTGCCAACACTGCCGGCTTTTTTTCTCGAGTTTGCGATGCTTTCAGGAGCCTTCTGGAACGGTGCTTGGTTGAATGTTCCCAAGGCGTGTCTCCAGCATGAGGTCGAAATTCACTCCTGTGCCCCCCAAGAAACTTGAGGGTGGCGCAGAAGTAAGGGTTCTGCTATCGATACTTTTTGTCAAACCGGTGAACAGCCCACACTCGCCAGATTCCCTATAGAGATATTTAAGGCTGCGTAGTCGAAAAATTCTCATTTGAACACAGACAATCAGACGACTTGCCCAAAAGTTAGATTAAAACAATAGTAAAACTACTCACGCAACAAAGAAATCTCACATATGGAAACAAGGTGTTCGGGACATGTTTATTTTACTAATTAATTTGCTTTAAAAGACGTGACTCTTAAATTACAAGCTTGAATACCGACATTCAGTGGAATTCAAATAAGATGTCTGTCTTTGATTCAATATAATTTTATACAAAGCGACAGAAGCCATAGGATACGACAGTTGTTACAGACATTTCATGAAGAAGCTTTGCCAAGCACAGGGACTCTCCAATTAATTCAACGGATAAGGGTACTAGTTAAGCTCATGGGGAGTGTGAAGCGGTTCCTACAAAACATCACATGAGTTCACATGGGCTCACATGTGCTCAGCATGCATATGAAAACTCTTCATATGCATGGTAAGTGCATGAACATGTTCTTCTCTTGTCGTTGTAGAAGTTTGGCAAAACTATGCATTGTCGAGCTCAGAGAATTGTCAAGAATGTTTCCCATAGTTTGCAATAGTTTCCTTTGGTTTTGCTATCTTTTATTTTCTATGTAATACGCTTCTTTTTATTGATAGGTTTTAGACAGTTTCAGGTAGTTTTTAACTAATAGTTTGGTCTTGCTGTTGGTGGAACGTTTTTGGAAACATTTTCGCTAGTTTGATTATCGTTTCCCTGGTTTCTGGTAATCTTGAATTTTCAGTCAAGTTGGTTTTACTACTTTTGGAGGAAGGGAGATTTGTACAAGTTTCGTTCAACCTTTCACGTAATTTTGTACTATTGCATGATGTGTTTAAAATTATTAATGATAGTAATGTATAATATTTCCCGTGACTGGAGTTTCGAATGTTTTAGAATAGCCCACTTATTTTCGTATGCAGCTTTAAGTTTCCTGAATTTTTCGCTCTTTTTATTAGATATTTTACAGCTGTAATCTGCACAATGCATTGTAGTGCCATTTTCGTAGTTAGCAGTGAATTATTTATTCAAAAGCTTTGCTATTCTGAAATTTTCAAACTTTTTATAAATTCTAGTTTCAGCCTATGCTATGTTAGGGTAACAACCCTGAGCTCACACTAGTACAAAAAGTCAGTGTTCGATGGGGTCTCTCCCCGAGTCAAAATCATGTTCAATTTATACCTGAAAAACGTATCAGTACCTCCCTGTACGAAGGCATTTGGAGCGGTTTTGACTTCAATTGAGTTATGCAGGATGCAAAATGTCGAATATGTCTACAGTGTGAGCAGTGACTTATCTCCAAGTTTGCCAGCAGTTAAATATTTCTGCACCAACTTGGCACGGACGATTTTAATGATTTCTAGCTCGTTTTGTCCATGTGTAGTCGTCCTTTCCATGCCATAGAAATAGGGTGTGACGCCTCGGAAGAGTTCGTCGACCACGCAGAATGCAACTGCGCACGAAACTTGGCTTTCTTTTTCGCGTCCAGCTAGAAACTGGGCGGTTTTAAACGAAGCTGGCGGAACCCGTGGGCCCGGAATCCTCGGCACAAAATTTCGTCCAGCGTGCTCCCAGCTACGGTGTTCCACAGCACTGGGTCCCCAAACTCTCCAGATGCTTTCTCTTAACCATCTCACTGGTGGAATAGAGCACTATGAAACATACATGCGCCAGAGCCCAGCTCTCAGAAATGTTTTGCTAACACAGATACCCCCGCAAATAAAGATCATTTTAAAAATTACGCGCTTGAATTGGTGTCTCCCAGAACGTTGTGAGGAAGTCTTAAAAGGGTGCCGTCATGAACTGTTTGAATATATAAATGGTAAAACTACAGCTAGGAAAACATTCGTTCGAGTACCTCAAAACGGGCTTCTTTTCATGCGGTGTCGTAGAATGATAGGGATACTGTTTTTCATTGTTATGGAGCGTCCAGAGCATTGAATGTATACACTTTTTTACATGACTTTCAGAGCTGAAGAGTAAGACTCACGAGAGCGCGACATACTCATTATTCCACCGACTCGTTTTCAAGTTGGCTGTATAACTGCAATTATAGATTACCAAACCAATTCAATATGTCGCAGTTCTGACAAGAAACGTTACAACGTAAAACCACGCTCGTTTTATTTTTTCTGGCCTCCAAGTGCCATCCTTGTCTCCCAGTATTGTTTTCTCGATAAATGTCACCGCTGTTACAGAGGGGTGCTGAGACATAATAAATGTATTAAAAACGAAATGGTATCGAAAGCAGAACCCGTCTATCATCTTTTAAGATTTACTGGCCTACTATTTGCTACTCCCGCGCTTGGGCAGACAATTTTCTACATTAGTTGTCGATATAAGATAGTGTCGTTCATATGAACTTTGTGGATATGAATGACGTGTCGTTCTTATTCTCGGAGTTGGAATCTTCAACTGCCAGGAAATTAGAAATGAGACGAGACACGTATTCGGGGGGGAGGTGTCTCCACAATGTACCATCTGACAGTTAACCAAGCCACATACAACATCTCCACAAACCTCAATATGTTCAGTCAGTGCCACGCCACAGTTGTGAATTCTGTGTGCGCATTATTATCTCGCTCGCAAGTGTCCCCAGCTTGCGCTCCTTGAACTGTAACGTTGTGCGGCCAGTGGTATACTCAAAGGCTTTATGTGACACTAGTCAGTCCTCGCTGTCTTCACTTTCAGTGTAGATGCAGATATCACTGGACATCTTGGCGTGTCTCTGACCCCTGTGTGTTGTCCGGAGGCGCTTGCAACCGCTGCCGCCTTCATGTTTCGTCCTTTGCGAGGCGCTGTCGAATTCCGAGTTGTGGTCTGGTTTCCCTCGCAACCCTTGCGCTGCAGTGGGGGCATAGCGAACGCCCGATATCGACGCCGACTCTGGGCGTGTACCGGTCAATTTTTGCCCGAGCGAAGGCTTATTCTCTGTACTGCATGTGGCCAGTGCGGATAGTGTGTCGTCAAAATGGCAGTTGCTGACGATGTAGAACATGAGGACCTTCACCTGGAAGAGATCGAGAGGGCGCTGCGTGGTTTCGCTATCGTGACAACGTTTGGGTACGAGAGGCCTTGTGTTCTAGGTCATACGTCAGGGTGTCAGAGACTCCGGACAGCGCTGTCCATACTTCTGACACCGAAAGTTGGGAGCTTGTTCGGGCGCCGCAGATCGTACTATTAAAATCACTTACAGCACATCGCGACAAGTGAACACCGCGGCGAGAGGAAAGTTGTGCAGGAAGGCGAGCGGAAAGCCGAGCTTTTCTGCTTTCAGAGTCACGTGGCTCTTCAGCTTTGTGCCGATCAGAGTGGTATAGTGACAAGACCAGGAGGGACCTTCATTGGCCAAACGGGACCGGGGGAAGAAAAAAAGCGTTTTAAGGACCATGTGGTAAATTTTCTCGCAGCTTTTTTTCTTAACTAATCAACCTTCCAATGCGTTTTTTTTTTTTTTTTTTGCATTTGGGATGTTTTTTTTTTTTTTTTTTTTTTTTTTAGCCGTTTCTGAAACTCCTATGACATTGTTATGTGCAGTTGCAAATAATCGTGTTGAATGTCTTATTCCATTCCACTTGCACGTAAAAAAGCGACGCAGCAGTTGTCTGTTATAAATAAAAGAATGTTAAAAACTACTGGCCGTAAACACGACCTATCTCGAGGTCGGTATACGTCAGCCCACAGTCCCGATAAATGAACCCAAGTTCACTCAAGTAGAAGAACAATGTTCTTGCACCCCGGAATTCGCAGGGCCGATCGAGTAGACCGTTCTCGCCACAATTAATGTCACGAATCTGCAGAACGCTGTGCTGAGCAATTGGATTTCTTCCAAGCCAATGGGAACCACAAAGACGCATTAGGATAAAGGCACATGACTAACGCATGTGCTGTTTCTAGTTTAACGCTGCTTTTGTTTGCAAGTGGTATGCGTAGCTTGGACACAAAACATATCATCTACACTCTAGAAAAAGCCCGTGCATCGACTTTCCCGCTCAACACTTGGAGAGCCAATCGCCACAACTTACGGAGCACTCTAAAAAAAAAGCCCGTGCATCGACTTTATCGCACAACACTCGGAGAGCCAGTCACCGCAACTTACGGAGGCAGCTCAGCGAATGGCGATGCCAAAACATGTTTAGACCAAAAAACGCAGTCTGAGTTGTGACATTGAGCAATGGAAAACGTCACGCTTGCATTGCCTAATGTCACAACTTAGACCGCGTTTTTTTTTTTTTTTTTTTTTTTTTTGTCTAAACATAGGTTTCGGCATCGTCATTCGCTGAGCTGCCTCCGTAAGTTGCGGTGACTGGCTCTCCGAGTGTTGTGCGGGAAAGTAGCCGCACGGGATTTTTAGAGTGAGGCAGCTCAGCGAATGGCGACGCCGAAACATATGTTTTGACCAAAAAACGCAGTCTGAGTTGTGACATTAAGCAATGTAATTGTGACATTTTGCATTGCTTAATGTCACAACTCAGGCTGCGTTTTTTGGTCTAAACATAGGTTTCGACATCGTTATTCGCTGAGCTGCCTCCGTAAGCTGCGGTGATTGGCTCTCCGAGGTCTTGTGCGGGAAAGTAGACGCATGGGCTTCTTTTAGAGTGCAGGCAAAATGAGCGCGTTAACGCGTCACATTTCACACGATTGCCCCTGCGTCGTGAACTTTTTATGTTAAACATTTAGGAGCTGCCAAGTGTTGAAGCGAAATAAATCGGGCACTTTCTGCGCCGCCAAATAAACTAGCAGTTTGGAGTATTGTCGCAACCGTTCAGGGGGTATTAGGAATACATCGAACACATCGGGGGGCGAGAAACTGGGGCCAGTAAGTAAAATGAGCAAGTTGATGTATTGAAACTTATCTATACAGAGCCCCGGATGCATTCAGTTGTTTCTACTGTACTATATCAAATTCGCCTATTTCGGATTGAGCCGTTTGAAAGCACAGAAGAGCGTTGTGGATAAGATAATCTGCGATATCATGACCTTAATTTCTTCGCAATCACTCTTCGTGATACGCGGCCCCAGGTTTTGCTGGATAAGCGAATTATGTGCGGCAAGAGTCGATAATGCAGAGATTCAGCGCCCAGGCGAAAGGACAGAGCCTCCGAGGAGCAAGGATCCTATTTCCTGGTCCTCTAAACACAGACAGCGTTCCAGGGTTCAAAGCTTACGAAGTCTGTGACACAGGAGGCGGCAAGTAGGTAGGCATGTATCCCGTGACCTCTTCATGTCACCCATGTGGAGAGATGCGGGCCTTGTAAGCAACCTCCGTAGTTGTTGTTGTTTTTTTGTTTTTTTTTTGTTTTTTCGGGGCAATATTCGCTTTGCTGTTTGCTACTCTAGTTGTGGGTGTTTATGTATTCTCGTACCTGTGTATGTATTTATGTCAACATAATCTATCCGTCTGATATTTGTGATAGAGCCCATTTTGTCTTCAACAGTACTGAAGTCAAACAGTTGCTTCGTGTTCTTGGCGTATCCTAACTTTGTAGTATTCATGTGTACCTTTGATTGAGGTGCCCTGATTTTATATATTCTACTCACATCACTCGTAGAAAGAGTACTCTTAAACACTTGCCTCCTTGATTTTTTCTAGTTCGTTTTCGATTACAACTGTATTTCCTGGCTTTTGCTGAATAGACGGGCGCTTTGAACGAAAATAAAAGAATATTAGAAGCCTTTTTGTGGTGACTCATTTTAAGTTCCCTGTTCTTACTGTAGTATTCCCCTTGTATGGGTGAGTATATACTGCAGATACTACCGCTGTTATATTGTGACGTTATAACAAGAGTTATAAAGTCACGAAAATTTAACTTGTCTTGATTGTTCTGGTAAAGCCAGGGAGCACAAAATCCGTCGTGTGTGCATTATGCGTGCGTTGTGGACAGTTATGCTTGACAAGGCCGGCCCCAAGGGTGGGTGACCTGGGCAGTCGCCCAAGGCATCATCAACAGGGGGCGCCACCGCGCCCCCCATTAAACATGTGTTTACTTTTTTTTTTTTTTTTGTACACGGCGCTTAACACGACGCTATATGTTCGATCGCCGTTCGTTTTTGGAATGCGGTTCTCGTCTGACAAAATACCGGTGTTGGGCCATTACGCACATGTTTACTAACAACGTGAATTTGTACCTAGTAAATAGCGTATAAAAAAAAAAGGGGGGGGGGGGGGGGCACGGCCGGAGTTCGCCCAGGGCGCTTGATGCTGTAGGGCCGGCCCTGATGCTTGGTTACGTGGAGCTTTGGATGGTTTGGATGCCTTGCACACAAAACACACTCTTGTGCTCACCGGGTTGATCAGGATGAATCAGAAAACTTTAAATTTATTCTGGCCTGGAGTATGTGAGGAGTACGCTTTAATTAGGAGTTTCTACAGGTCCTGCAAATACTTTACGAAGGAGTCGTGAAAAGTCAATGGCCTTGGCGTTGACAGCTTATGTGTAATTGGAACAGCTGGACGCGCGCGGCCTCACGGTTGTCCTCCTTGAATTGGGAGGGGCGGCTGCCGGCCACCATCGTCGCTTAAACCCGTCGAGACAACGAAGACAGCCATCTGCTCTCTTGGAGAATCCGCGGAATCTCGGACCGTCGGCGGCAGCTCCCTCCCTCGGCGCAGCGCGACAGTGTCGACATCAGGATGCGCATGCGTTATCGCAAACGGGAGTCTCCAAATCGCTACGGGAGAATTTGGCGCTGAAGGCGCGCTGTCTAATGCCAATGAGCGAAACAGAATGCATTCTCCTAGCAGTAGTTGGGTTCTGCTTTTCCCGAGGGTGCGTGTAGCGCCTTGGGCTGTAGTGTTCTTGGATTGCGAAGAGCCCCTTGTGGTAACTGAAGTAGTCGCGAAGGGTGGGGGTTTATTGCACCAGTTTATCTATTGGCTGCTGTGCTAAGTCATGACATCATACGCCCGCTGCACTATATTTTTGAGCGTTATGATCAACGTTACTAGATTAGGTCAGTTGTGGAACTCCTGCAGCAGGTGGTACCCCCCCCCCCCCCTCTTTTACTCACTTCAGTCCACCTCCCGTCGTTTGAAGCGCCATCTAGATTGCCGTTGCCGAACTCTGCACGTAGAGTCTTCGCGCGCGCACTTCGGGATCTCGGAGGCCATGGTAGACTAGGTGAAACGCCATATATGGGGCTGCGCGGCTGAAGTTTCGCCGCGCATACGCAGCGTCACTCTTCCCACTGGCGAGGCACGCCCATACACTCTTAGAAAAAAGGGTCTATATAGTGCTCTTTGAAGGGAGCGCTCTTGTAACCTACGTTCCTTCAGAATGAGAGAAACTTTCGTCCCTGAAAGCAGGGGAGCAAAGTTCCTCCGTCGCCGGCATCGCATCATGCCGGCCCCGAATCGAGTAAATCGAGCTCAATAAGGCTTAACGAGGACGCTACGTCTCTTGTACGGGACGAGAGGAGCAGCAAATGAAAGTGTAGTAACACGAGCTTTCCACCAACTCTATTTATTTCCGAAGCCAGCTTCCCCCGGCCAGTAAACTTGCGTTTCGAAAGCAGTCACCCAGTCTTCACGTCGTCACCACTGCGACGTTAAACGGAGACAACCGATACCCAGTTACTTCACACAATTTACGTGTTACCTTTATTATTCCTCCCGCCAGAATTCCTTCGTCTGCACAGCACATCACGGAGGAGTAGTACACCATTCGCGAAAACGAAAGCCGCTCTCAGAACAGCAAATTCGAAGCAGCCTACTTGGCTCATTGCTACACGGTAACCAGAAATTTTCGCGAAGCGTGAAAGAAGGCTAAATCGGTTGCCACCAGATGGCAGGGTCAAGCAGAGTAATTGCAAGTACACTCTAAAAAATATTTGTGCGTCTACTTTCACGCACAACACTCGGAGAACCAATCACCGCAACTTACGGAGGCTGCTCAGCGAATGACAATGTCGAAACATATGTTTAGACCGAAAAACGCAGTCTCAGTTGTGACATTAATTAAGCAATGCAAAACGTCACGCTTGCATTGCTTAATGTCACAACTCAGACTGCGTTCTTTGGTCTAAACATATGTTTCGGCATTGTCATTCGCTGAGCCACCTCCGTAAGTTGCGGTGATTGGCTCTCCGGGTGTTGTGCGGGAAAGCAGACTCACGGACTTTTTTTTTAGAGTGTAGCTAGGTTAGATGGCGCTAGGTACCGCCCAATTCATGTGCACATATTCTAGGCATTCTCCGGCAAGAGAGGCACACATAAGCGCGCAAACTTGAGAGCAGTTTCAGAGAGGAACTCACGACATTAACCAGTACCTTCCATGGACATCTAGAAGCACTAATGACAGAACTCCGTCGTATTACGCAGAGGGACGACATGAATTGACGCAAGCCAGCTACTGAGGGGAAATGAGCAAGACGCTTACCTGCCTTCAGTGTAAATGCAGAAGTTACATCCAGACCGGAACAATACTCGGGGAACGTGTAGCCCACCTACAACTGATTGTGATTTTATACAAGAAACGCGAGGCCCATGCCCTATTCAAGGATCCAACACACTCTTAGAAATAGGGGGTGTATAGGGGTACGCCAGTTGTCCCATATGTAACCAAAACTACATTTGAACGTTCAGTCCACTGACGTCGAGCTGGCGATGCCAACTTCTACGAGCGGTTGAGGGCTGTTGGATATGACGTACTAAATAGCCAATGTGCGTATCAACGACTAGAATATAAAAAAAGACACTGAGGTTTCGCAGCAGGGCCAAAAAAACCTTGATTGTCTTAAGCCGGGAACACATTTGCGAAAAAACGAACTGAAAATCGGAGAGAAATCGGAGGCTGCGAGAATCGTAGCTTGCGAATTTCGGAAAACGAGCCACATGAGGTGGAATGCGGGGCGCGGAAATCGCAATGCACTGCGGTTTTCGCGCTCCGACTTCAGGAGGCTGTTCGGTAGTCTGGCAAACTGACGTCCCATATTTCGCGCCTCTTAAAAGCTTCAGCTATTAAAACCTCGTTGGATGCCACGCGAGCCTTTGTACCACCACCCTTTCATAGAGACAGAAGGGTTTTTGTACGAAGGTTGAGATGAGAACGCAGGGATGGCCTACGATGTTGCCTGCGCCGCTTCCGAAGCTGCGTGAGCCGCCATGTTGCGAGCCGATCGTAACGTTTCGTTCCGTCCTGCTCCGGGCTTTCCCTCACCGAGCTCCTCCGCCCCGAATTTGGAGGCGCCGTGCGAAAATATCTGGCGCTGCAGATCTTTCGAACCGCTCCCGATTTTCGGAAAAGGGGAGGAGCAAGGGAAGGAGCCTAGCTGCCGTGCTCTTTTTGTGTGCGGTTTCGGCACAAAAATCGCCTTTTTGTCGCAAATGTGTTCCCGGCTTTACTGTAGCCTTTACTGCATACATTAGCTATTTTAATAAGGTGTATCGGTCGACTATCAAGCCGCTCTTGAAAGTTAGTATCGACGATCCGGCGTCTGTGGACTGAACGTCGAGTTGTTGTTTGGGGGTGTTACATATGGGACAAAGGGTGTACCCCCATACACCCCATATTTCTTAAAGTGCACGATCAAACGCAATACGATCTTACACTTAGATCCTGTCACACAACAACCGAGAGCTCAGGGTCAGACGGGACTGTACTTCGATTGAACTCCCACTTCCCAATATCAGCAACGACTACCGCCCAGTGATCGCCGCCAAAATCCGACCCCCTGAGCAGCAACCATTCGTTGCTGTTTGCGTCTACTACAGGCCAAACACAGGGAGAGCACGACAGGATGCCTTTCCATGGGTATGAGACATCTAGCAACGAGCGGGTTCCCGCCACATCATAATTGGGGGTGATTTTAACTCCCAACACCCCACATGGGGCTACCGCAGAGCAGACCCAGAAACAATGCCCTTCACGACGCCATGGAAATGTCCGAACTCGATTTGGTTAATGCACCGGACACTCCCACGAAAGTGGGGCAGCATTCCGACCAGAGTGCCGACCCGCAATGTTTATCGGTTTGGTTCGGGTTCGGGTTTATGCTTTCTATTTAGTTCCGATTCAGTTAGGGGGAGCAAAAATAACATTTCGAACCGGTTTAAACCGCTAAATTGAGAACATATTTTCCGCGTTGTTTTGGCAATAGCCACTATTTCAACCCTGAAACAAGAAAATGGTATTCCAGGCGATCAAACGTCTTGTCCTGGTCGAGTGAAACGAAGGCTCCTAGTAGGCCGCGCGATGTGGCGTACTGGGGCACGTCGCGAAGGAGGGATAGTGGCGAAAAGATAGTCCGCCCAGGGACGGAGAAAGTCTGGTACGGACTGACGAGCCCTGATGTCTCGGAGACGCCGGGCGAGGACGGCGGCCAAGATCTTGTAATCCGTATTAAGAAGCGTGATATTGCGCCAAGCGTTGGGCGTCTCTCACCCTCCTTGGAAAGCAGGACGATGCTGCCGCGGCCGCGGAGAAACACGTTGAAAGCAGTGACAAGCGCCGTACCTATTTGAGGCCAGAACTCTCAATAAACTTCCGTGGGCAGGCCGTCCGTGCCCGGTGAAGAGCCAGGCTTCATGCACCTCAGGGCCTCGGATGCCTCCTGTAGCGTGATTGGAGGAGCAAGGGAGTCTCGCTTAGGTTCAGGTTCAAGGTGAAGCGCGCCGCAAAAAGAAAGGACGCGGGAATAAAACGAGCCGTCGACGGGGTCCTTATCAGGCTCGGACAAA